TCACCTTTGAGTTCCCTGAAACCTGGGGCACTTCAAGAAACAGTTGTACCTCAGCCCCCTAAAATAACTTTTATGGATGTAGGAAAGAATAGTAAAACATATTTGATTTTAGCTTTCTGTTTCCCTGCCAGTGCATACATTTGTCAGGTTTGTCTTTAAGGGCAGATACGTTTTTACAATATAGGCACAAAGATCAATGCAAATTTTTTTAGATAATTGGAAATTTGCAAAATAATTAATTTCAATTTTCATCAACAGCAATGAAAGCCTGATTCAATTGCTGATGAAACCTTTGTGCTTCATCTTTTTAAGGGACAATAGTTGAACAGGTGTCTGCTGCTGAAGGTAATGATACTTTGTAAGAGGATAAGCATTCACTCTTTTATATATCGTTTCTTCCTTCAGTTACCTTAAACTGAAAAAATGAGTACTTCATAGAAATGTTAAAAGGCAGAAAAATTTAATGTGTATTCATGTTAACTTCTGTTTCCATAGCTTTACAAAACCAGCCTCCACACCTGCAATAAAACTGACAAAAAAGGGTAACCTTGAAGAGCCAGAAAGTTTTGTAATGTTATTTCAGAAACATCCAGCAAACAGTTCACAAGAGGGAATAAAGAAGGTGCTGTATGAGAAAACTAGGGAACATCCAGGAGAGCACAAGGGATAATGTGTATAATGTCACCAATTACAGACTCTTCATACTTCACAACTAAAGGCCATGAAGAATTGTACCAGGTTTATAGAACCAGTCTTCTTGCAAGGAGGACCAGAGACTGCTTGGGACCTCTAATAATGCTGCCCAGTTGTGAATATGTTACCTACAAGGGTCTGAGGACCCGAGTTTCTCACGTGAAATTTGGTAGGAAAAGGTTTAATGGTCTGAGAGCAGCTGTATCTGGGATTTATCAGTGTACAGTGCTCAGGTTACAAAGAAATAGGAGGCAGCTCTTAAACTGCTTTCCATGCCCTTCCTTCCATCCATGGCCACGTTGAAAGGTGAAACTTCACAGTACCCCTGCAAAGAACATTGCAGGTTGTCTTTAGTAATTGCATGATAGGGAACATCACAGAAATAAGTGGCAATAATTATACATTTCCTTTTTTGTCTTTCAAAGGTCAGAGTTAAAGTCACAGAAAGAAAGTTTCTTGGTATCACAGGAGAGAGAGAGAAGAGCCACTTTTGCATCTTGAGAAAATACTCAGTCTGTCTCTCTCTATACGTAACTATATGTGTGTTTGTGTATCTCATAAATTACACACACAATTTGCCTTGGAATGCAAAATCATCTAATTTCCAAGATGATCTGACTGTGATTTAGGACAGTGAAATACTGGAGAACTATATATAATCAGCAATTCTGGCTAGTATGTGAATGGTTTTTCCTTTAATTGTTCCTTTTAATACAGGTAAACATTAAAATTAAATCATGTAGTCCTGGGACTATATGAGGTGCAAGTTGAAGGTTCCAGACTAAAAGTGACTTTACTTCAGTATGAAATGGCTTACAGAAGCAGTGGCAAAATGGATACTGTGCCATAGACATAAAGCAGTATTTTACATCTGCATGTCTTTATGTGGGGCACAGCTAGAGAAAAAACCACTATGAGGTAGAGCAAAAACTGTTGCTGGTTTATCTGAGAAATTTGAACCATCTGCTCCAGACCTTCATTGTGAGTGGTCTGTGGTGGAAGGTCAAGGAGACTGAACCAGCTCTGACACTTCAGGTACCCCCGCTGCTGCTTTGCATGTCCCTGCACTTACTTCTGTCTCCTCATTCACCTTCTAAGGAATTTCAAGTTCCTATCACTGATCTCTGATCTGCAAACAGAAAGTATGAACGCACCTGAAGCAGGCTGCACTGTATTACAAACAGAAGACAGTTTAATCTAGAAAAGATCACTATACCCTATTAAGTAAAAGTTAACATTAATTATTTAACCAAAACAACAAAAAAGAAATTGAATATTTCAGTAGCTGTTCTATATGTTGATAGCAATACATGCATAAATACCTAATTTGACACTATACTTCACTCTTCTTTGTATGCTATTAATGTGACATGTAGCAATTTAACATTTATCACAGCTTTTAAATTTAAACTCCTGTTAAATAAACTTGTAAAGAAACTGTGATGATATGAGTTTTCAAAATTCTCTGACACAAGAGATATCAAAAAGACATTTCAACATCTACCTTCTATTGTGAGTTGCTGTTAAAACCTATGATTTCAACAACAAAAAAATCTATTAAGAAGGAGTCAGATTATTTCAAATATACATTTTGAGAAGACATTAATTTTTTCAAGTTTCTGAAGTAACATTATTGTTAGAATTTTTAATACCAGTAATATGTCTGAATTCTACTATTCCTCAGGCTGAAATTTTGTGCAGAACTCACAAATGTCTTGATGACAGAAATTGTATGTTAGATGGAAAAGAGAATCACATTGCAGGAGTCATGGGAGGTCCAAAGTTTTCATTTGCATTCAGGATTTTCAGGCAGATTTTCATAAAATATTTGCAGAACTTACATCTGTACATTGCCTATCCCCAAATCTCTAACAAGTCAAACAGTATGAGGTGTTTGAACTTGGGATTTTGTTCCTATCCTGTTAAAAATTAAAAGATTTCAACAATACCTTTTCTTGTTCTTTGTACTAGTGACTGGGCTAATAGTCAAACATTAAGATCTACAGGGAAGGATAACCTTTGCACACTAGAAGCACACAGCATGGGCTTGACAGTTTATTATACTGTCACTGGGAGAATTTCAGGAGTATAAACTTCATTCGTCTTCTAGACAAGCTCTTCTAAGATAATTATAATTGTAAAAATTATAGCGTTCCATAAAACATCATTACTGTTATATCTCTAATATTGTACAATTTTTTTTTTAACGTGTTACAAACACGAATCTAGACGAAATGCATTTGTTTATTAGCTTTTTGACATGAATTGACTCAAGGTCAGAGAGGTTTGGCAGCAAATGGGATTTAAACTGCTACCAGGAGCAGCTCAAAGAAGATAAAATCAAACAGTTCTCAAGGTCAGCACTAACTAACTCTGGGCGATCCTTGGGAAATTAAGCAAAGGAGGGCAAGAAAATTAAGCTCCCCCTCAGAGGAATAATTGTAGCCTTTGGCTCCAAAGGAGGTTTTCTGTCTTTTGAATGCACTGATATTGAGCCTGCCATTTCATCAAACTGTGTCTGCCACTACAATGTCATTTGCCTCCCATTCATTCCCAAATTCATATGTTTGCTGTGGGGTTTGATGGAGATGAAAGTCTGCAGTGTTCTTCAGATAGTATTCAGTGGACATGCTAGTGTTAATGTAGACTCTAGTAACTAAAACTTTGATCACAATAATATTTTCTAAGTGTATCTAATTACTTTAGAATACTGTCTTTGCTCCTTTGTCTCTTGATTAAGTTTTCCATTGAGATGTTAAAAAATTAGGACAACTTAGAGTTCTACTGAAAGATTATTTTATTTTCCAGTGTAAAGAGGGTTTCTGGTTTTTTCCACTTCCAGTGTTTAACTTGCATAAAATATAATCTTCCAGCTTAATGTTTTGTTGAGATATTGCACAGTCACCTGTTACCTAAAGCAAGAGTCTGTAGTTTCACAGTCACCAAGTCTTATTTCAAGATCCCTTTCCCTTGCTGTCCTCTTCCATTATAGGTGGACGTGGAGTGCAAGTGAAGTGTGTGGTACCCCACTTCCCAGCTCTGTTTTAATGGAAGCTGAGGTCCAGCACAACCACCATAAATCAGAATATTCCTCTGCGTGGCATAAGAGTGGCACACTGACAGGACACACTGGATCCTCAGTGAGTGGCAGGTAATTCATGTAGAAAAGAGCAATTTTGTCAAACTTGTCCACATAAGCCTTTTCAGTTTCCGCTGTGTTAAACCTCTCAAGAGGATGGATACCGCTCTTATCTGTCACAGAGCCAGAGACCAGCACTGACAACCGTGCTCTGACAGTGTCATTGATCAAGAGGTGACAGTGGTCAAGAAGACATCAAAGAAGGGAGAAAAAACCCTCTTCAACATAATTTTTAGCATTCATCCCTTGCAGGGAAAATTGTGGATTTTGAATCTCTGAGATGTCTCAGTGAAAGGTTCTTTTCATTTTCTTAGAAGACTGAGAGCGTTGTGTGGTTTGTGTACACAAGTACATGTGAGGACTGAAGAAAATAGGGATCTAGTCTTGTGTGGCTGTGATTCTGCACTCTTGTATGGCTTAAAACTCTGAATTCAGGTGAATCATAGAACTTTTTTGGTATTAATATTGTTGTGCATTTCAGGGTCAGGCAGTGCCGGCAAAAAGAGGATCAAGCGTGAAGGTAAATTCCTACATTTCTAAAATACAAGGACTCTGTTTATCTTTTAAGGGAGATGGTTTGCTGCCTCTGCTGACTGACATTAACATGCTGTGTTGCCCCTTTCTGGTTCATTCTTTCACATTTTGTTGCTTTCTATTTTCTAAAGGAAACTGAAAGAAATTAAGAGTAAGTGTTCTATCCTATGCTATTCTGTTCTTTTATTGCTGGGAGCCATACTGGCAACTGTGCTATTGCTCCAGTTATCTCTGAGTGGCTGCAGCATCATCTGCCTGGCATCATTTAAGGAAGGTTGCACAAGGTTGTTAATTACCCCTTAAACAAAGCTTTTTGTGGCTCCAGATGCGTATAGAGAGCACTGGGGAAACTGTTGGGTAGGAAGATGAAGGCAGATTGTGGTTCTTAAAAGTTTTATTCAATACAGGACAAGATTCTGATTAACTGCTCTTTTTACTGTACCTTTTAGAGGGCTGAGAGAGAAAGGGAACCTGTGATTTATATGGCTGGAATAGAAGAATTCATGTTGCTTCCTTTTTAAGGGACAGAAGAAGTAAAATTCTTTTCTATTTCTCTTCTAATTTAAGAGAAAATAGTGAACAATAAAAATATTAAAATGTTGTTTCCTGTTCATTTTTATTTCTTTCCCCCACCTTAAGTATTTCAGAAATTCCAGAATTGCAGATTGAAATGGGCTGTGAAGAGTAAGCTATCAGAGGTATCACACCTTGAGTCCATATGACGAACTTCAAGCACAGTGGATTAAAATAAAATACTAATTTTAACAAAGTTCTATGTGTCTTTAGTATGAAATGTTGCTGAAAGAAGCACCTAACAGCAACTGTAAGAGATGGCAGGGGTACAAAGTGCTCTGTTTCTTCTGACTTGCTTTATGGGCTTTGTAGTTTCTCGTCTGTTAAATACGGGTCAAAGCTCCATGGAGGATGCCAAAAGCACTCTGCTTGATAGCAGCCTTGCTGCTTTTCACTCCTTCAGAGTGTCTGAATGTTTCTGTTACAGTTCAGAAAAACATATACCAAAGCTCCAGTTCATTTTGCTTCAGAATAAGCCTGTTCTTCCCCTTTATCTGCCACCTGAGTCTAATTGTTCTCTACTTATGACATTGCATTGAATTCTGACTGGCAGGTTGTGTTGTGACATTCTTAGGGTAATGGTTGCTGTTTTGTGAGTATCAAGCATGCTTAGTTTGCTGTGGAAACAGAAAATAAGTGCAGTGCACAGAGAGGTGCCCACAGGTCTGCTCTAAGATGCAGTCAAAAAGAAGAAAACACAGTAGATCAAGAGCTGACAATTCCGAGCAAAGCACTTGCTTTAAGCAGGTCAGCAACCCCACAGATGTTGGATCAGAACTTCTGAAAGTTTCACAGGTAAATTTGTCTTACAGAAACACTCAATCTAACAGAAGGAGTGCATTTAAGCAGAGACAGCTTGGAAAGGGAAAATAAGAACGCAAAGGAAACAGGCTGCAGTCAGGCTGGTACAGCAGCTTCAGATTAAGGAATTTAACTCTCGTGGAAACATTCAAAGATGGGAGAGTGAAACCTTCTCAAGACAACAGGCAGGGGAGAAGTAGCATTTTGAACAAACTGAGCTGTCAACAGAAAGCCTCAATTGTAACCAGAAAGGGAGAATTGAAGGGGCAGTAACAAAAGCAAAATTCTTTACTTTTGCAAGAACAATGTCGTCACATTCACTGGAGTTCTGGTAAACAGAAATATTTAAGACAAACTGAGACATCTTCAATCAATTTTAACCCCTCTCTTACACAAACACACTCACCACTGAAGCCACAGATGTCAACATAATTAGTCACATATTTCTCTCCTGTATTAAAAAACAAAACAAAAAGATGTTATGGGTGTGGAATTGCTTGCATGAAAAACCAGCTGCTCTGTAAAAAGAATAAAAGAACAGGCTGTATATATGGGTTTAAAATAAATAGTGCTGTCTTGTGCATCTGCTTCTTTTAGAGCATCAACATGAGCTGAACAGTCGATGCTGCAAAATTCTCTTAACTGGCAAAGACATTTGCTGGTTAAGTGACTGCCCTTCTCCCAGCCCCACATTTACACTCTCCATTGAGAACAACTCATAATTCTTGCCTGGATCACAGTTTAAATGGGCACAGTGCAAAATGCTCAACAAAACAGTGATGTATCGGGGGCATATAAACTGCCAACAGGGAGCACAGAAATTACTATAAAGAAAGAAAAAACCTATCACACAGGGAATATAATGCATAGATTTACACCTGCTCAACGTGCCTGCCTGCTTTTATTTTCACAACTGGTGGGGTCATTAGAGTCCCTCCTGGCACGTTCCTGCCTGCTCTGAGGGTCACTGGGGTGCCGTGCTGTGAAGCAGGTCCTGGACCCTGACAGGTTTCATATCTATGACAGATGGAGATTATTTTCTCTGTCCTTTCTCATCCCATCAGGGATTTCCTACAAAAGCCCTGACCCTGGAGTCTTCTGTTCCTGCCCCAGGGAGAGGGAGCTGGACTTCACTGCTTTCCCTATCCATTCATTTCCTACTACTGAAAGGAGTAGCCTTCCCTAAGGAAGGCTTCTGTGCAAAGTTCTTTCTCTGAGGTATTGATTTTCCTTGTGTCTGCATAACTAGCCTACAGAGAATGTATTATTTCTTTTTTTTCTGTCACAAAGGGAACATTTTTGTTGTGCTACAGCAAAATATGAGAGGCTACAATTGTCTCTAGAAAGAAAGATTATTCTCTTTTGAGGCATTAAACAAGGGCCAGATCCCCAGCTTGTCACAGGAAAATTGACTGTTGGATTCAGTCTGAAAACTCCAGTATCTCTATTTTAAAGAGGTTTTTCTTGAGCCAGTGAGTACCCACTACCAAACTATTGTGGGACATGCTCTAAACTCACAAATACCCAAACAAATACACACCTCTGACAGCCTCCAGGCCCAAAGAAGTTAGAAAAGATGAATCTCCCATTGCCAAATAGTAGCACTTAATTTGTAATCTGTTGTCAATCCATACATTTTTAGCCATTTGGGCATATTGCCCCTTGCAGGGGGACACACAGGGGTCTGATTTGTTAGGTTTGGGGTTGGGTTTTTTTTTTTTTCAAAGTGGGAACAAAATTAGCAGTCAAAGTACAGATGTCCTGAATTTACTATTTAAGACATAATAAAAGGCATACTGCTGCTAAAAAGCCACCCAGAGATGGCTCTAGAGTAACAGTTTGGAAAATCTGATTAAAGACTCCCTGACTAACTAAAAGGCACTGATTAAAACTAAGAAGATTAAAACAAATTTAGAAATCAGAGCCAGAGTATCTTTGAAGAAGCCTTTTTTTGACAATGGAGCTACCAGGAGTGAGATTACCAAGGACTGAGTGTTGACAAGTGTCATTCCCAAAAGAGACACCTTGGGTATGAAAATCTGGCTGAGGATTCTGGGAGTGGAGAGTGCCACTATTTTTATCCCCACAACCTTGTTTGTTTAATGAATGGAGGTGGAAGCACTGGAAGGAGGAAAAGCCAAGCTGATGAATCCCTTCCTTCTTGGAATCAACAGCAATTGCCCCCACTGACTTCAGCTATACCTGGTTTTCACCCTACGTGGGTAAGTAAACCTGAAGTGAGTTAGGCTCTTCATTTCAACCTTTTTTTTTAACAGCATCCTGCTATTAAATGTTCTATTACAAGTTCAGCCACTTTGAAATTTATCCTTCCACGTTGCTGCATACCAAAGGTAAATATCCCTGAGCTGTACCCTGTTATTTCAACATCCTCATCAACACCTACCGAGGTTTGCTTCCCCTTCTCTGCTGAATCTTCCATCTCACTGGGCAGCAGCTCCAAACTGCCCCTGTGCCCAAATATTAGGCTGTCTCTGGGCCAAGCAGTGGGTGTTCACAACAAAAAGGGTGCAAAGTGCTGATCCCCATCTCTTCTAGCAAAAGGCTGTCAGCTGGGTGCTCCAGGTTGTTCCAATCTACCATTAGGCTGTGAAATGGCTAAAACAGAGACTTCAGTTAGTAGACATATCCTGAATGAATGGGGCATTTCTGGAATGTGCCATGTAGTGCATCCAAGAACCACAGGTAGGACAAGAAAAGCTTAAAAATCTGAGATGGTTTTCTGTTCCTTAGCTGATGATACATTTTGGGCTTGGGGAGACTTTAGAAGCAAATAGAAATAAAGGTCTAGAAACAGGCAGTGAAACTGTCACATGATTGCTAGTGAGGCAATAACTCAGGAGACTCTCAAACAGGGGCACCCACGACCACTTTGAAAACTTTGGCCTGTTTAAGATCTCTACCCAGGACCAGCAGATATGGTCTAAGACCTAGGGAGATTTCTGAAGCAAGAGTAGGAGGCAAGATGAGGTACTTTACATCATCTAACACAGCACCTGCTCCCCTACCGTACAAATTAGGGAATTAATTTTGAAGGAGTAGTTACTTTTGTCAGAATGGCCAATTTGTATTTTACCACGAGGGAGTCAGCTCTGCAGTTGGCTAAATGCATTCCTTTTCATCAGTGGCCAAGAAATAACGTTTTCCACTAATAATATTTCTCTCACCAGATTACCAGCTCTAGAATCTCACCTCATTTCAGAAAAAAAAGTACAGACTCACAGGCTATTTGGTGTCAGAGTATTTCTAAGGTCTTTTGCTTTCACATCACAAATATTACAGTGGGGGAAAAAAAAAAAGGAGCAGTAGTAGAACAATCTGAAAGACCCCAGCAGCAGAGCTGGTAGGTGTAAAGCACCTTCCTCCCAGGGTAATTCATTTGGGTATCTTTCTGACTAAACAACACCTGAAAAATGCACACCAACACCCCTGTGCTCCTGCATGCATTGCACAGCACTGCTAATTAGTTTAGCACCAGGTTTTCTTCTGAGGGAGGAATAGTGGGTGGGAAACTGTAGGCAGAGGAATGTACAGAGGGAAGAAGCCAATCTTAAGATTTGAAAGAATAGAAAAAGAGAAGGAAGAAGAAAAGAATGAGCCAGTAAAGATTTTAAAAAAAAAATTCTGATATTATAAAACTGAAACAAGGAAAAATAATTACTGCTTATGGCAAGGACATTGGCTATGGAGTTACCCCTTTTCTTTGGGATCTGTAAAAGCTTACTCCATGGTAATTTTCTCCTTAATTTCTTTTATGTGAAATGTAGATAAAATGCCACTGACATAGGAAAAGAAATGCTTTTATTGTCAATATTGATTGCTCGGGAGGTCATCTTTAGCTCACTCATTGAGGGGACGTATCATATAACTTGCTATGCACAATTGCCTCACGTAACAACATGATGTGTGGCTTATGAAAACAAATGTCAGCCCCTTGCAACAGAGTGTAAAGTACTACACACACATTTCCAGCTGGACAAACCACTATCAATGCATTAAACAGCTTTTCCAACTGAAATGATGTCTCAGGCAATTGAATTATCACAGCAGGCAGCTGTGAACACTGCCAAGACCAGCACCTCTTCCTGAATCAGGTATGGAAAATGCTGGATTTTCTCGGTTGAGTCTGGGCCTCCTCTTCAGTACCCAGAGGGTTTGGGGACCACTGTTTTACTGGGGCCAATGAAGAATGTTAAACACATCACATGCACCACATACTCCACATCTCTCAAGACTGGGTGATCCATTCATGGAATAAATGTGATTATCGTTTTTTGAAGTGTAAAGAGAAGGATGTAGTTGGATTTAAAGTGAATCAGCAGTTTTGATCAAATTAAAGAATTCAATCTACAAGGGTGAGGATCCTCATCTGGTGCAGTCAACAGGACCAGGAAGGAGTTCACTTGCTTGATTTGTGCAAAAAATCTTGAAGGACATTTTCAGCAAAGTGAGCAGCTTGGCTTAAAATAAAAACCATTTAGTCTGAAGATACATAACAATAGTGACTCTCTTTGTTGAGGTTTTTTGATTTCCAATAATATAACACTTCAATACTTTAGTCCCTTGGCAGCAGTTTTTATTTTCTAATTGGCAATTCAGCCAGTGTGTGCTCGTGTGTGTAGGCTCAGGGCACATATATTACAATAACAATGAATGTTTGAGGTTTTATTCTGTCACTGCCACCCCAGTGGGTGTTTTAAATAAAGAAAGATGCAATTCTTTGTGGTGTAGCTTTCCACAGGACAGTAGATGAGGGTCAGCCTCGTGTACAGAGCTAAAGGACCTGTTTATGTCTTTAAAAAAAGGAAATCACTCATATATTTTGAATATGCATCCATCAGTATAAACCAAACTGTGAGAATTTGGCATATATTCCCAAACACTAATTTTGTTGAGCAGATAATAAGTAAGAACAAAAGTAACTTTAACAGAGGAGGAAACAAAAAGAGGTGTTTTTTTCCTTCAAACCACTGAAATCGTTAACACATTGAAATGCCTAATGATTCATTGAACTCTGACTTGAAAGGCAGAAAGTCTAAGAGATTTAAAGTACTGTTCTTTCTGAGGAGCAATTACTTGTGATCTAATCAGCTATGCATTTAAAAAAAAATGTAGAAGCTATTTTACGTAGGAGAGCAAAATGAGTCACTAAATGAACCTTCACCATAGGGGTAAAAAAAAAAATCCATATTACCATCAAAGTAGTGAACGTGATTCAAAGAAATATGTGATGAGTCTTGACAGTTAAGATTTGAGGGACAGAAAGTCACCTCAGTTCATTCTACAGCCTTCAGCCCAAAGAAGATTTAAGACTTGATTTTACTGTCATATATGATGAGTATCTTGAAGTTTCTTGTCAATAAGAAGATAAACAGAGCAGAAACACAAGTCCTTATGCTGGTCTCTCTGTTTTATCCACCAGTGAAAACAGTACCATCTCTCAGAGCTCTCTGCAGTGGTGATGAATATTCTCTTCAGCTTTCACAGTAGACACCAACTACAATAAAATTCAACTGACAATTAAGTAATGTGACTGGAGAAGAAATCTGATCAAAATAAGTATGCATTATGGATAGGAAGGTAGGAGAATGCATGAGGAATCTGCAGGGACTTTTTTTCTTTTAAGCAAATATTACCTGTAACACCATGTTAGCGTGTTTGCATCTGCTCTTTTATCTAGAGTTACACAGACTTCATGCATACAAATGCCCAGTAAATGTTATATTGGCAAACAAAAACTGACACACTGATTTTTAATGTGGAACCAAAGTTACACACTTTAGATGCCTTTCTCCGTGACTGGAAGCCCAGGAATTGCTTCAGTACAAATAGTACATGAATAATAATGTCTGTATTTAAATATGTAGGAGGCCTGAATGTCAGGTGTTCTGGTATATTACAGCTAAAACTTTTTTAAGGTTTTCAGCTCATTTTTTCAGAATAACCCAACAGCTAAATGTTTATTAATTATTTGAGTTTATAGGATAACGTAATAGCAAGGTTTATGGCTGCATAAAGCAACACTTTTTAAAACTTCCTTCACTGACTAAATTGAAATGTTATGATTCAATAATTTTATCTGGAAGAAAATAAAGTTTTAAGAGCCAACAACCACTAAACTGTCATCCAGTTTTTGTATTGACCATGGTCTGTATTTCAGATAAAAGTTCCACTTCCTTTGAAGGAACTAGAAGGATGATTATACATTCACAGAGCACTTGCAAGCATCTGTCCCAGATCCACATGCACTTGATTCATCTGTGTGCACAAATGGCATGAGTTTGATAACAAATGATCAGAGCTGGTAATTAGCATCGACAGCTCCCTAATTTGCACAGGAAGACAGCACAGTTGTTTAAGCTAAGCAGGTACCTTGTTGCATGCCTTGATCACAGCTGGAATTATTTGTGTCAGTGGGAATCCAGTGTACCTGAAGAAATACTGTAGATTTCTTAATATTCTAGAAATGAAACAAACACAAGAAAATTGTCTTCAATTTTTCCCTTTCAGAATGATTCAAAGGAATTTTTTTACAGTATTATACACAATATCGTCTCAATCATACCAGTAAGTAATAATAGGCACATCTTCTGCCATTCTATTCCTCAAGATGATCATACCCTAAAGGAGCTGTGTTTGCGGAACATGTGTGGGAGGTTGCACAATCCTGGATGTTGTCCACCAACCTTCTCATTCATTAATAAATCTGGAAAGAAATAACAATAAAAAGATGGTGCTCAGATTTCTAGAACTTGGAATGTGTAGCTTAAAATTGTACATAAAATATTGTGCCCCCGCTCACCTTGAGATGCTGCTTTAGAAAGGCAGCAGTGGCCTCCTCCCCGCCGAGGGACCAAAGCAAAGAGGTGTTTGTGGTGATGTACGGAGGGTGTTTGCAAATGACAAAAGCAGACAATTACTTCTCTTACTCACCTGGGGACCCTACACCACCAGGACCTAAAGGCAAGGTGAAAAGTGCTCATTTGCTGATGGATGGGCTGTGTTTTTATCAGGCACTGTGCCTCCGTAGGCTCACTGTTTACTTTCCAAAATGCCTTGGAGACCACAACACTGAGCCTGGGACGTGTGTTCTTACTTTAATAGAGCCTTAAGTGGCACAGAGGAGACAAGTTTTCTAAGATTAAATCCATTGTCTGGAACAATGTCTTTATGTTTCATCTTTAGCCTTTTAGGCTTTCGTGTACTATATGACAGAAAAAAATGTTTCTATTTATTTAAAAGAGTTTTTGTCCTCTTCTGTTTCTTTGCCTCTCTGCTTCCATTTCAATTTCTAAGCAATAGACATGAGCATGAACATCCAGTTATCTTCAAAATATCAAAAAGATTAGAGATTATGCTCATTTTAGCTCCATAACCCTTTTCAGGGCTAGCCAAAAATTTTGATCCAAAGCCAAATTTATTTGGCTATCAGGCTAATTCAGATTCAAGGGTTTTTTAACCATAGCCTAAGCACAAACTACAGTCTGCCTGCTGGACCTGTAAGTTCTCTCCATGACTGTTGTTGCTTACATATTATTATGCCTGATGCACATCTTGAGTTTTCTGTATTTATTACAGAATAGTTCAGTGCAGCAGAAGACAAGCTCAACCTGCAGGGCAGTGACTAAGGGTTTGAGTGTGGGGGTGAATCAGTTTTCTTCTTTTTGATTGCTATGGTTTGTTTGTTGGTTTATTTCTCAGTGCCTTTTGATAAAATTTTGATACAAATTCTATCCTGGATGTACTATTTTCTGACATTAATGGCACTTTTGTCCATCAGAGTGTTCTCACCCACAACACTCTCTAGCTTTCTCTCTTTGATTCTGTCACTTTGCCAAAAAATGCATCAGTACATACTTGAGATATGAAAAGAATTCAGGGGCCCTTGCTGTCTCCATTGGGTTGTTCTGAAATTATATAATGGAGAGAAGAGACTAACTTTCAGAAAGGCACTTAATCTATTACTAAATGTCTCAATTACATTAGCATGTAATTGGGATGTTTATTAATAGAATAATGCATCTATATTGCTGTTAATTCTGATTGTCACTAAAAGGATCGATATAACGATGTAAAATAATTTTTCTATGACTTTCAATTATTAGCACCCTGTGATTCTCACAGTTATTTTTTGCTGCAATTCACCTCTCAAAACACATGTCCAGTGTTCATTGGCCTACATGAGCCTTTCCCAAGGTATACAGTCAGCTGCTGAGATATTTATGGTAGTCCAATACCCTTATAGTAGTGGTTGTTACTATATCTGACACCATGGACTAGAAAAAGGTCTTGCAAATGGAAAGACTGGATCAATTCCACTTCCAGGGACAGACAGACACCCTCCCACAGGAGGCTGAAGTCCTGCAGACCAAACAGATTGGTGTGATAAGAGATTTATTACAGAGGAAACTCTTTCCTGATCCAAGATAACAAATACTATCCTAGTAGAAGTTCAGAGAACTTTTGTTTAGCTAAGGAGCTCAACAGGGGATATTCCTCTATCAACATGTCATTTTTTTTTGCCACAGACTCTGTTTAGACTTCATCACTTCACCAGGAGTCTGATCAGGCTTTGCGCAGCATTATGGGTAAACAACAAAATATCTTTCTCTGGCTTGTTTTTGTTTGTTTCCCTACAAAATAATGGTTTTAGTAGTTCAAAAAGCCTCTCTTGACAAGGTTCCATGCAGATTAACCGTTTAGTGTTTCCTCATCTCATTATAATTTAAGATGTAAGACTTTTTTAAAAGTCTCTATCTTAGAAAATTTCCATCTCTCTTAATATGGTAATGCCATTAAAATGAGTATTTTTATTACCCTAATTCTCAGGTTTTAAAAGGATAAAAGTAATAATGCAATTGAATTATTTAATTCCATAATCATTTTCAGACTGTATAAAAACTTCTGAGGGAAGCTGTTACATGACAGCTGATATCTGCATGTTCATGAGCATTAAGTGAACTATAAATATAGAGGGACTGAAGCTGAAACATCAAGCGTGAATTTCCTCTTTCAACTACTTAGCCCTTGAAGGGCTGTGACAACAATGCAGTAAGGGAGGTTTCGATGTTTTAGCAGTAAACACTGACTCACCTGCTCAGTGCTCTGGATAAATAATCATTAGTGACAAATATAAGCCTGTTTCAGACATAATTCAGAACACCAAAAGTTACATAAAAGTATGAGATATTTTGTCCCTTACCAGTAGCAAAAAATACCACTTGTTCAGTTCATCTCAGTTGTTCTCTGCCATTTGAGGCGAGTCCTCAGGAGAACAAGTCTTGAGGGCTTTGCACCTCTTTCTCATGTCTCTTCCTTGGTTTCAGTGCCCACAGTGAGTCCCTGGTGATTTTCTTACCCTTCAGCACGTCTGTCAGTGCAAGCAGGTGGCAGCTCATAAGGTACAAAATACTTTACTGGGATATCCTTGGATCCCAAGTGGCTCAGCAGAAATGCTCATTGCTTTATGAGAATGAACACTACCCTGTGTCTCTCATACTGACCCGAACAGCAGGAACAGAGTTGCTTTTACAAGACCTGAAGATATTTAGCAGTGGTGATTGGGTAAGGCAGGCAGGTTGTGGACATCAAGTTGTCTATTTAGATAACAATTATAATATCAAAAAGGTGCAGCTTTCAGGTTTGTCAACTGTGGACAAAACCCATTATGTTCTCCATTAATTAGACCTTGCCCAGCTTTTCTGAGCTCTGCCCCAGCAGTGCAAGGACAGAACATTCATTATATTCTCCACAGAAGAGCAAAGTGTTTACACTGTCCTTTTGCTAGCAGCAAAACACTTTTTCCACCAGCTGAATTTATCTGCCCTTTATAATTGCTCAGTCTAATTAACAGTCCTGTATATCACACACTTGCATTACCTCCACCTCCCTACGTGCCCGTTCTTCTGCCCTGATGCAGTTCTTAAACCATTCAATTGTTTCTGAGTTCCCCGAGTCTTCCTGGAGACCGCAGGACTCCAGGACCGTGTGTGTGTTGTGCTCTTCCATGAAGGATAAGGAAGATGCAGGCTGGCTCAGAACTCTGTGGCACAATCTATTTTTAGAGCCCCCTTTTCTGAGTAACTAGTTTTCTCATGGGAAACAAGTCCTTGGGGGAAAAGTCATTTCCACTTCATTTGTTAATCTAAAATATAGTTGCTTTTGGCTTCTTGCTACGGAGCACAGAACTGCTGCATCTAGTTAATTTTGTAGCCTTGCTAAATGACAGTGAGATTTATTTAGAAGGAAACCAAATTTAGTCCCATTAGATCATGGTAACAGTTACATGAAAAACATTAAAAAAACCCCTTGTTTCAGTCATGGAAACACTTGATCCCTGCAACCACCAAATTATATATAGGAAAGTTAATCAAAGTACCTACCCCTGGAACACAAATAAAAGGTATGGCTGCAGGGGAATCCCCACAACACCTGACACGCTAAAAACAGGATAACTTCCCTGAGGAAACTGAAATGTTACATCTAAAGAGTAAGGAAAAGATCACAGTATAAGAGAACATGAATCTATAAACCCTGCTGCAATGGGACCTTAGGGCTGCTGCTGGAAGCTGTAAGTCTCAAATTATGTATGTGTTCCTTGGGTTTGTTATTGTTCTCTTCAGTAACAATGGGCACTCCAGGATCATTACCTTCTTACAACATACATTTGTATTGACTGTGCTGGACTGTGCACACTGCAGAGACTGTGAGTGCAGCTATTTATGCCTTTGTTTAAAATAAGTCTGGAGCTTTCCTGCCTTTGGATATGAGGGTAAGTCGCCCCAGTAAGGCTGGAGATGTGTCTGATGTGATATGTCATGCACTAGCTCCAAAGAAAGACTTGTTTTAAGCAGCTCCAGCATAGTTCTTAAAGAGCCCAACCATCCCTGTCCATCTCCATTCAGAGGGGAGACAGGGGAAACATAGCACCTTGGCATCATCTTTCTGCTGTAGGAGGAGAAAGAAATGAGTCGGGGAAGCCAGGGAGCCAAAGCTACCAAAGAAAAGACCATAATAATCATGTTCCACAAATGAAAATTTGTCTTTTCTCTCATTCCTGGGAATTACAGATTTTATACAATATCTATTCTATTCTATATTTCAGTGTATCTATTATTTTCAATATATCTATCATATTATATATATCTATTATATCCTACACTTTTGTTATATTATATTCCTATAGGAATATTCCTATATAGGAATATTGCTATACTCAGTGACTGTGTAATTTCTCAAGTTAGTTCAGGTTCCACATTTTCTCCAAGTATATTCCGACTGAATAGGCATTGCTAGGGATATAGCATCAGTATTTAAACAGTAGTATAGCCCAAGGGATAGGTTAAAGAAAGGCCAGCCTACTGCTAATTCAAGCTTGAGACACAAAATTCACAATGGGAATACTTTATGTGAGTTTAGGAAGGAAAATTCACTTGCTGTTTCACCAAAGATACTTTTAGTGGACATGCTATTAGTGTCAGTGGGGTTTCCAACAACCAATTTTTAAAGGTTATTTTCAGGGAGAGAAATAACTAAAATAAATGACCTAAAAACATCTGAACATGTTTTGAAAAGACTCCATTTTTCTGGGGAAAAAACAAATAAACAAAATGTCATGATTCCTCTTGGGAAAAAAGCACCCTTTAGAACCAAAAAACTCTCAGGAAACAGAACTGGTATCTTCTACCTGTTTGGAGAAGATTGAGT